TTAAATGTTGTACGCCACCTAGAGTCACTTTTATGTGAGATAGGCAGCTACATAAATGTGATAGATAGATAGATAGATAGATAGATAGATAGATAGATAGATAGATAGATAGATAGATAAAATAGATCTACATTTTGTGCATGTAAAGCAAATGGGACAATCTGATATGGGGCATGGTCCCAGCATCTAACCTGTCCAGCCCCTCAAAGCAGTGATGCTGAAATTTCATGGCAAAATGGTTAATGTTCAATGATGTGATCTTTCAAGATAAATGATGGCAATGGAAATGGGAGGTAATTTTAAGGTGCAGTTTTGGGAGAAGGTTTGTTGTAGGATTTTACCAGATGGGGAAATGGGAATGATTTTCTTCCTAGATGTTTCCTGCTCCATTCTGATCCCTAAAGATCCAGAAAAGCACCACAAATGATAAAAAATTGCCCTGCTCCTTCTTGTGATGTCAGCTTCAGCTTCCCCAGGTGGAACAAGGGGGATCATTCTGACTAAAGCAGCATTGTATGTCATGAAGCAAGTCACTCTTCAAGGGGTGAAGCTTGTGGCACAACACTGTTTTCATCAGCAGCAAGATCCTGTGGATGCCATTAAATGTCACCACTCTTGGGTTAGATTAAGTTCCAACTTTGACATCTTAGACTTGGGCAAATGTTCTTCATGAGCTGCTGGAGATCTGCTTCAAGCCAGTGAAGAAACCCTGGGGAATTATTTATAACTGGTGGTCCTCTAGATGTTGTTGAGCTACAAAGGCCAGCCATCTCAGAGTGCACCATCATTGGTGAGGGATAATGGGAGCTGTTCTTCAGCAACATCTGGAGATCCATCTAACTAGACTGTATCTTAGCTGTGATTAAACTTAAATTCATGGCACTGCCTGTCAATATGCCAAATATCTTAAGCAGAAGACCACACATTTGAGAAAGCAAATGGCTTGGAAGCTTTACTGTATAGTGTTAGGTTATACTTCAAAGTAGTAGTCATAATGATAATAATAGTAATACTAATTTTAAAGCATTAACAAGACAACATTTTACCTTGTTTTTATTTATTTGTGATGCCAGTTGTTTCCACCAGCAGAGGGCTGAAGCTGAGGTAAAAACCAGTATGTCTCAGTCTAGGCAGATCCATATGACAACATGGAGCAGATATCTCCCATTCTCAAGACCAGGAGAAGAATAGCCAATGTTTTATTGACTCAAAAAGGTGGGGAAAGGTCTTTAATTTAAATGCTGAAACAGACTTAGAAACAAGCTATGACTCCTGGGTTCTGCAGGAGGCAGAACTTCTGCACACAGATCCCTTTTATCATGTGCGCAATAGAGCAACTTATCCAGCTGTGTTTTGTTTGTGAGCTTCAGCTGTAAGAAAGTTCTTGAATATGGTTAAGTATCTGGAGAAAAGTGATTTATCACCATGCCCGGGGTGAAGTCTGACATCCAATGGAAGATACCCCACTTCCAGCAGCCTTTCCAGCATCTTTTGGCCAGCTTTTTAACTGCAGCTTAATATAGCATTCTGTGGCTCACTGGGAACATAATAATCTTGAGAAAATTAAGTATTAGTGTTGGTTGGGTTGGAAAAGTCTGGTGGAATCGATTTAATCACATTAGCACATGGGGTTAGCCATGAAATTAGATACACCACTTTCCAACAGACTTCTAGGAACAAAACTGAGGGAGCAGTTGAAGCACACCATTATAGATCTTGGGTTCGTCATACACTGAAGGCTGAGTGAACTTTTTACAGGACATCAGCTTGCTCCAGATGTCAATGAAAACTAATTTAATGTACAACACTGTAATTATTTTATATAGTACAAGCTGTAACTTGAATTAAGCAGCTGACACTTGGTTGTTCATTCCTGACAGTGTGTATATCACCACTCTTGTATAGTAGATAAAATTGCAAAGACCGACAAGGTCCCTCTCTGATGGAGAACGATAGCAAGTAATTGTCAGAAGATGGTTTTAGCTTAGAGTAGGTTCCTCCAACCGCATACATTCAGCAAAGGCTGACAACTGAATAGTGTATCACACAGTGTCTACTCAATCATCATGAATTTAAAAAAAAGTATCCATCTCTATTCTTTTATTTTTAGTTAGTTTTTTTTTTAAATAGTAGCACCAACAATCCCTTTATGCAAACCCCTTTGCTTGAGCCTCCAGCCAGTTCATGGAGGGAACTAACACTTACCAAATGAACCAAGAAGGAAAGAAGGATTAGATCAAAGAATAACTTTGTTTATCTCTCAACAGTGGACCGAGAAATATAAATGTGGTGGCATGTCATATGGATTCAGCCATTGAGTTCCATGTTTGAGGGGATTCTTGGCTACTTGCTGTGAGTCCAACACCATTTGGCTGGATTACCAGCAGTAATACTGCAATGTGTGTACCACAAGCAGTTATACAGCATTGTGGATAATTTAAAATGTTGATTGCCCATCTGGCCATTGCGGCCTCTTGGTTAGGCAGAGATGGGGTAAGCAGAAGGACCAAAATCAGCCAGTCCTGCTGCCTAAAGGTGACTTGTGCTGACCCTAGACTGTGGGAAATGGACTTGGCCTGTTTCCTTTTCACAAAACCCAAGTGACACAAGGAAGTTGTGTAAATGAAAATCAAAGCTATTAATCCTTGAATTGACGGGATACTTCATACTGGCTGGAGATTAGACTGTAGGAGCTGAAATCCAACAGATTTGGAGATCATTGAGTTGAGGTATAAACTATATGTCACCCTGAATACCTGAAAATTCCAGTTCTTAGTAATACAAGCATTATATGCATTGCTTTGCAATAATAAATTTATCCTTCTAATCCGATTATAGTGAACACACAAACGATATAAAAGATGCATTATCAAAGCCCACAGAAACATGGGATGAAAGGAATGAATGAATGTGTGTGTGCATGCATGTGTGTGTGCATATGTGTGTGTGTGTGTTTATAATGACAACCAGTATTTCCTGCAAAAGTGTCTTTTCAAGAGAAATAGATTTCTGACTATCCAAATAAGCCACAGCAGCAAAGGGACCTTCTTTTCTACTTTGCATTTTAAAGCCATGTTCTTGTCAAACCCTTGCAAACATTCCCTGTGCAGAAAGCAAAGGAAAGAAATATAAAATTACCCTCTTAAAAAGAGCATTTTACAATTCATCGCTGCAGCTAAACCAGCTGCATCTCTGAGAAGTGTAAGCATATTAGCTTTTTCAACATTGCATACAAAGCTCTTATTTATTTTGTGCCTTTCAGCTGTGCAGGATAAATTCAACATATTTCTCCATTCTCCACATCTCTATTTTTAATGTGCTACAAAAAGTTACTTGCAATGAGTTTTCATAACATCCTTCTAATTTAGATTATGTGCAACAGAAGGAGCTTTAATCCACATAATACATTAAAGATATTGCTTTTTAACTAGGGGTTTTTAATTGGGATCTTATTTGTCATTACATATTAAATAGAATAGAAGAATCTGGAAGGTTGAAGAAGAGTTATGTGTATAGTGGCACCAAGAGTTTAATAATCAGCTCAGATATTTGCAAAGAGGAAAGCAAAATGAATGCTGCTTGCATTGATTTACAGATAGTTCCTGACTTAGGACCACAGTTGGGGCTGGAACCTCCATTGCTAAGCTATGGTGTCGTTAAATGAGTTGCGCCCAATTTTATGCCTTTTTTTGCCACGGCCATTAAGCAAATCAGGCAGTCATTAAGTGAATCCAACTTCCCCCACTGACTTTGCTTGTTGGAAGTCCTCTGGGAAGGTTGCAAATGGTGTTCACTTGACCCTGGGACGCTGCAACCATTGTAAATACATGCTGGTTGCCAAGCACCCGAATTTTGATCACGTGACTGTGGGGATGCTGCAATGGTTATAAGTGCAAGGACTGGTCATAAATCACTTTATTCAGTGCTGTTGTAACTTCAAATGGTCATTAAATGAATGGTCGTAAGTCGAGGACTACCTGTATTTACCTTCCTGAAAATATGAATGTGGGCCTTGATTTCTTACTAGGAAGATAACTTCATAATTGGGATAGAATCTCTAACTTGACATTATGACTAAGCACAATGGGTGAATTAGCCAATGTAAAGGTGCTGTCTAGACTTCCATATATTTTGAATCATTCTAGTTCTAGCTATTGTAAATAGCACAGATTCAATAACACATGAAACCCAACATTCACTGCATATTTTTCATATGCTCAGCATTTAGCCATTTGCTCTGTTTGAATTGAACAGGAATCTTTCCTCCGCTGCTGTTTGTAATGGAGGGTTTTGTATGATATCACTGACTCAGTTCATTTGCTTGATTTGTTAGAAGAGCAAAGCACCATCCAGTGAGACTCTCCTTCTTACGGGGACCAACTGGATGCTGCTAGGAAGGCTTCCGATGCCACGCTGCCTAGGAATTTGGAGTGCTGACTTCCAACAAATCTGGAAGGCACCACCAGGACTGGGAAAAGCTGCTCTGAGAAAAAGCTGTGGGTATTCTTTGCTTGTGGAGGTAAGCAAGAAGTGCAAAAGGCCTGTGCTGTTGACCATTACTCACCACTGTCTATTGCCAAAAAAGACGCAGTGTAGACATTGTTCAAGACGGAGGGGGATTCGCGATCAAGTATGCCCTTGGTGCGAATGGTCCCATTTGTAGGGTTAATTTCCATCCAGTCTGCTGGATCTCTGTCAATGGAGTATCTGCCAAAATGCACAGATAATAATCAATGAACATGGAACTAAAAGAGGTTTTGGCCCAGGTGCCATGAGGATTGAGAAGTTTCACATTCTAAATCCCAGTTTATAATTTCCTAGATGGAATAGTCCTGTGGTTTACCAGAGATGTCATTCTGAATGACACAGTTCCTACTGACTGTCTAACAATGAGCATTTTCCAAAAAGAAGATGGGTAATTAATCCATTAACTAACCATTAAGCAAGGCAGAAATTAAAAATGGGTCAATAAGCAATAAGCAGAGGAATAATAGTAAACATTTCATAGTGGTGGTTTCAGCTGAAGGTCAGCTAAGAAACAGTCATATTCCTAGTTGACATGGGAATAAGCTCATCTATTGTCAAAAATGGAGCACACAATACAGTTCTTCACCAGCGTTGTCATCTTTGATGATTGATAGATTTTGAGCATGTGTGAGAAATGGCATTTCTTCTGACATACCTGCTTTTCATTTCCCAGTGTTTTTGCTACCTTCCATTGTCAACATCGTTTTGCATAATTTAAACACATTACCAGCATAATTTGCAATGTGCATTATGGAAGTTCAACTGCAGAAATGGTTCTGTTGATGCAAAGATGTTCCATAAAGTGAAAATAAGAGATGGAACAATCTTAGTGATGTTGACTCAGGTGCCCCATTGACTTCGGTGATGCTTATAGATGGATATATTTATTTACTGGGATTGATCGATTGATCAAATTTATACCCCTCTACATCAGACTTGGATTCTTGGCAGTAACAAAAGAAGTAGCATAATATATTATAGAAGCTTTCCTGCGTCCTTGCATTTTCCTACTATTGCTTTGGCCTTTGAGCCAGGCTCCCCTGCTGCCCCCACAAAATAACCTGAATAACTGCCAAGCAAGAGGATTCTAAGCAGATGGGCTGTGTGGAATATCCATACTCTTATAAAGCTGAATCATCCATTTCCCCTATAAAGATTCCACTAATAGCCACAATCTTCCTAATTGCACATATTTCCTTTCTGACACCAACTCCAGAGGTCTAGATTTTGTTCTTCCTATACAAAAGACTTTTAGCTCGATAGATCAGGTAAAATCTGGATACCCAGTTGTCATCCGAACGGAACACTGATCATAGTAATCTGGATGATTGAATGTCTTCTGCCCATCAGTTCTCCCCTCCCTTCTGAAAAAAAGGGAACCCAAAGGCCTTTATCCCTCCATTTTGATAGCAAAGCAGTATTTGTTTTGGTATACACGTTTACATCTGGAGTCTTAATCCCTGAAAAGACAGGTTGCCATCTGCATATACTCTTGAAATCTATGTCACAGAGTGGCAAAGAGGACAGAACGTGGGAAACAGGAGAAAGTATGGGAAGAGGTCATAAGAATCTTTTTAAGGCATTTCGTTTCCTTGAAAGCAACTCTGTCTTTTCACCCAGATTCCTAAATTTGCTGAACACGTGTTTTTAGGCTAGGAATAGCCCACTATGATCTACACTTTCATGCTGGGAGGGGAAAGATAGAAGCTATGTTGGGTTTCTGCTTCAATCACTAACTGCCACCTTCCTACTTGGGATTCTGTGCTGTACTTCTTAGATCCTGACTTAAAAGCCGCCTCTTTGTGAAACAAAGCCAGAATCCTTGTCAAGGATGCCAGGGAGATGTTTGTGGCTGTATAACAACATCCCATTCCCCAAAGCGTCTCATTCACACCAAATGACAATGATGCTGTTGGCATATCAGGAATGATTAGGAAGGAACAAAGAACGTAGCCAATTCAAGCTGTTATGATTAGCAAATGATACAGTCTATCAACTTTGCCGGTGCCTTTTTCATAACCATTAAAACATAGATCCACAGAGAAGCTTATGATCCGTATAGATGAATACAGTGTGCTACAATAACAGGGCTCTTAATTATTTCATGCCATTCCTTTCTTCCTTTAAAAAGATAATTCTGAAACAAAGATACACAGCAAAACAGGAGACAAGGTAGCTGAACTCGTTCCTAGGTAAAGAATATTCCATTAATGCAAAACAATGTGTTTGTGTGTGATGCATGTGTGTGTACGTAGCCTACACGCACAACCCCCCCCCACACACACACAATGCTCAGCTTTGCAGAACAATCAGACAAGATTAACTAGAAGTCCTCATTCCACAAATGGCATTACCTCTGAGAAATGGGCAGTTCTAGCCAATCTGTTCTGATTGTGCTGTACCGATAAATTACATAAAACATAATTTGACAGAGAATATTATTTCTCTTTCCCCAGAATTAAATCTCCTCTAAAATTTTATCTATTGTAAGTACATAATACTCCTTAACTAAGGTGATTGTTCCTTGCTGAGATTCTTTTAATATGCAAATGTGGGTTTCTCCTACCCAAAGAATAAAAATAAATGTATATGAAAAATAAAATCATAGCAACATAGGGTAATGATTTAGAAGGTGTGGTGGGGAGTGATCCAAGCAGATTTTTCCCCCCTTGTTTGTAGTCCTCTGTACTTTCCAATCTATACACAGATATCTTTCTGGTAACAAGGGTTAGTTCTCAGTTGTGGAACGGATATATACAAATTGGCTTATATCTACTAAGGATAATGTTAGAATTTGTGTAGAAGAGAAGTAGGCAATTGAGGGGAACTAGAAGCTGCAGGACCCAACGGGATTTATATGGCCAATACAACAGAAAGCAAAATGAGGGTGTCAATTCCCACCTCACCTCTTATTTTGTCCACAGGAACACAGAATCATTGAGTTGGAAAGGAATATTTAGCCCATCAAGCCTCACTTGTGCTGAGTGAAATACTGCCTATTAAAGCAACTCTGGCAGATAATTGTCTAGACTCGACTAAGACACATCCAGCAAAGAAAAGCCAACTATTTCTCTGAATCACCGGTTGAACTGCTCTTAGTATTAAGGTGTTTTTTTTTCTCACATTCAGCTGGAATCTGTCCTCCTGTAGCTTAAATCCATTATTCCATGTCTGGCAATGAGGAATGAGAGAGGACAATTCCTGAAGTTCTTTTCTGGGACCTTCTTTCAATGGGCTATCCCTTTCCCCACCCATTTGTCTCTTCTCAAGGCTAACCATAGGCGGTTCCTTCAATCTCTGAACCTCTTCCCAAGAGGTAAAATTGCAGACCATGACTGAACTATTTTGCCAAAGTAACTCGGGAGTCTTTTTAAGGCTTTAGAGATGGGGCTGTACTTATGGGTCCTACTTGAGACTCTTTTGAGTAGAAATACTGGAAAAGGAGCTTGAGTCAGTGGCTTCTCCCTTTAAATAGTGTGTTTTACTCCACAACAATGACTTCTGAAATATTTTCAAAGAGGGGTTTAAAGTTTTCCAAAACCAGGGGAATTCCTGCAAGGCAAGTGGAATGATATTTCAAAGGTTCAACGAATTGTAACTATGGTACCTTCATGCTGAATCTTAATTCTAATGTCCCAGAAAGAAAGGGGAGATGAGAACACATATGGTTCTTTTCTTTGCCGCTAAGACGAAGATAATTCTTACATTCTAATATACTTGCTGATACAATAAGCATTCATTTACAGTATATGCTAGTTGCCAGCGATATCTAATTTAATTTTCTTTCTGTGATTGAATAAGGGCACCGCCAGTCTCTTGGGATTTCTTATTAAAGCTTAAGGTACCCTTAAGCAACAAAAAGTAGGCAAGTTCTTATTTAATTTTAATGGTATTTTAATTGACGTTTTTTTTTTTTTGCTGATTTCATTTTCCCTGCACATGGGTGAATGAGTTATCATGAGAGTTTCTTTCTGTAGAGTAAACTCATCAGCTGTCCATCGTATGATACATGGTGCTCTGAATGGCTATCCTTCCTTGTAATTGCTCTAACTCTTCTAGGGAAGAGAATGCCATTTTCCTATTAGCTAATAAATCCTAAAAAAACCAGGGATGTCCATAAGAGGGTTAAAAAAAATGCCCAACAACCTCAGAATGGTAGCTGGCCCCATGCAATTGAAGCCACACATCATTTTTTACATGTACCACATGTGAAAAAAGACTGGGGTTCAATCATCCCGGTGTGGTGGCCGTCTTGACATTTTTGACCCTCCTGCCAAGACCCCAGTGTCAACAAACAGTTGAAGTGTTCCACACAAAGAAGTCCTATTGATGCCATGCGAGTACTAGTACACAAGAAAGAAGGCACAATTAACCCTCATGCTTTGCAAGCAAATGTCCCTGGTTCTATTTTTGACATTGTTGGTAGGACTGGGAAACTGCACTGCCTGAAATCTGAGGAGTCTCTGTCAATCAATCTAGATCAGTGTTTCTCAACCTCAGCAACTTTAAGATGTTCAGCATTTAAGGGCACACAACTTAAAGTTGCTGAGGTTGAGAAGCACTGGTCTGGACCATGGGTGGATAACTTGTGGCCTTCCAGCTGTTGCTGAACATCAGCTCTTGGCATCCCTCAACAGTTCATCAGTAACGTCTGAAGACCTCATGTTTCCATCTCACGAATGGATGGGACAGAGATAGTTGCTCTGGTTCAGTTTAAGGCAACTTTCTACATTTCTAAGAGCTCTTATCTTTCCTAGTAGTGGTCTGCAGCTTTATGCAATTCCCCTGATCCCAGTACTAAAGAATCTTTTGACCCAGATGGGAATATCCTACTTGAGATAAGGCTTGTAGATACAGAAAAGTTCCAAATCCGAATGGAATTGCCCTGAAAAACCTGCATTTTCTGCCTTGTTCTCTTTTTGGAAAAAAGACACAGTGAATGTTAAAACCCTTGTCTTTAAGTCGGGGCCAGGTGTATTGGTGAACAAAGAACTGGATAAAGATTTGTGGTCCAGAAAGGCATGGGAAGGCCCTGAATTCTTGGCTCTGCTCTGTTTGCCCTACACCTAATCTCCTGCCTACATTTGACTTTTCAAATAGGAAGCCATAAGCTGCTGACTAGTTTTTTCCATTAAATATTTGATGATAGAGAATGCAGAAGTCTGCATGTGTTAGCAAAG